AATCATTATAAGGCAAAGTGGTTCTATACTGAAATTGACTTCACATGAAGTAAGGACTTTGACAATATATCCTTTCTTAATACTAGCATTTAAATGGAAAAATGATATCAACAATTATAAAGCTATTTTTCCCAACTATTTCAATGCCCATGGAGATTTTCATAGATATAATACTAGAGGCAAATCAAACTTCACCCTTCCTGAAGCAAAACTGAAAATTATGGCAAAAAACAATAGCCTTTAGTGGTTACTCCATATGGAACAATCTCCCAGAAGAAATACAAAAGTCAAATTCCATTTCTTTTCTTAAATCAAAACTGAAGAAGCATATTCTCTTAGCTTATTAATCATTAGTTGACTATATCATTTCTTGTTTCTTCAGTAAGAAGGGTAGGCTCTCAAGGGAGGAAGATGGGCCAACCTGGGGGCTGCTCCAAACTACTTAAGATTTAAAATAATAATTCTGACCATACCAACCTTGGGGAAGGTAAAATAATAACTAATATTTTATAAGAATCACACTTTTAACGATTATTTGCGTCAATGCGGTAGTCTGGTATCTTTAAATAATAATTAATGAAGCTACACATTCATAAAATTTCCCCATGGCATATGGCACCTTCTTGGCTTCAAATGAAACGAGCATCATGGATCCCCCATACCTTTATTTATTATAGTCTAACTTTTGTGATTACATTCCGGTTTGATTCGTTGACAACATAATGATATACTTCATGATTTAACGTACTATATGTACGGGTATTTAAGCATCACCTGTGGTGCCACCTATTATTAATAATATGTGTTCACATAATGATTAAATGTATGAATAAATTGAGTTTAATTGAACTTGCAATGTTTCAGAATAACCCTTAAAAAGGTAACCATAACAATTCTAAAGTTTATTGAACCATATTCAGAGTCACTGTGGGGACTGGTGTCATATTCTAGGTTGTAGGTACCTGATGCAGTGAAAATGTCATCATATATGTTTGGGTTAATCCACTTATTCCCGTCCACACTCACTTTCCTTTGAGCTGCATGAACATGCAGCAAAACATTCTGTACCTGCAGTGGCACATGAGCAAGTGGTTTAACATATTGCTTTGTCCTTGTATCGTTTGCATGTGCAAAATGACTTTGGGATTTTTGTTATATCAAGTTTCGGTTTTTGGTCATTTTAATGGTCTCAAGAGTAATATGAACCACTTGACATCCAAATCCATTCCCTGGCTCTGGAATCTCAAAAAGTGGTTTGTCAGCATTCATTGAAATGTATAATTGTTATAAACCAAAAATGCATACATAGTTAGTGGTAATGCTCTAATATCATTTTGGATGCTGCAAACAAGTGTAATACATCGATCCAATGATAGTTTGTTTTTATACTGAAATATAAACAAAAATAACGCAACTCCCTTAGACCAGAGATCGTGCCCATGTGGACAGTCAATGGAGACAGAAACTCACTTTAAAGTAGAATGTCATATGTTTGAAAATGAACGATTAAGTCTGTTTGCCTAAATGACTGATATCCATAGTGACTTTTACATGTATACAAGTCTAGGAAAATATTGTATAATAATGAATGAAAAAAACTGTTCAAAGGACACTTGGAAAATGTATGATAAATATGTTAGTCAAAAGGCGTGAAATAGTTACATGCGATGGTCTCTAATAGGTCGGCATCAACCAGGAATTGTTTTAATTCATGTATGTGTCTTAATGTAACATCTTTAGTGTGTTAGACTTTAATTAATAAATTTACTACTACTACTAGTATAATATTGTTTCCATGTAATATTTGTTTCATTCTTGATGTGATTTCTCAATATTCTGGCGAAGAAATACATAAGCTCTTTCTTATACGATTTCAAAGTTATGAATCAAAGTTTATTATTTTCTTTGATCTTCCCCCAACCCTAAAATATTAGGGTAGGGTGTGAGATTTTTTCACACTCATTATATACAATACCCTTTTTATATTGTGCATACCCGTTGTAAATGTATTTTTAGGAATTATTTCACAAGTTATAACTTCATAGAAGTCAATTAAAGTAAATTTCGTATTTCATCACTTTGTCATTTAACGTTTTTTATGACTGTATAAGGGTTAAATTATGCAAATTAGCTTATTTTCATATCAAGATATTTCTTCCGAATTACTGACGTTATAACATAAATTTTGGTGAAAGAATTAAGTTTGTACCTCATATAAGTTATGAATTAAAGTCCATTTCCATTTGACCCCCCTCGAATATCTGGGTAGGGGGACAATTTTTTTCAGCGTCGTTATGTAAGATACACTTTTAATATTTTGCACATTTGTTATACATATATAGATGCATTTTTAGGAATTACTTTATTTGTTAAAACTTCATGAGAGGTCAATTAGAGTAAATGTCGTATTTTATCGCATCGTCATTTAACAGTTTTTATGACTGTATAAGGGTTAAATTATGCAAATTAGCTTATTTGCGTATCAAAAATATTTTTCTGAATTACTGATGTTATTACATAAACTTTGGTGAAAAAATTAAGTTTGTACCTCATATACTTTTAAAATTATGAATTAAAGTCCATTTTTATTTGACCCCCTCCCCTCAAAAATCTGGATGGGGGGAGAATTTTTTTCACAGTCTTTATATAAGATACACTTCTAATATTTTGCACATTTATTAAACATATATAGATGCATTTTTAGGAATTATTTCATAAGTTATAACTTCATATGAAGGCAATAACAGTAGATGTGATATAACATCATTTCGTCATTTACTAGTTTTTATGGCAGTTTAATGTTTAAATTATGCAAATTAGCTTTTTTTCATTCAAAATATTTTTTTCTTCATTACTGATGTTATTTCATAAATGTTGGTGAAAAAATTAAGTTTGTATCTCATATACTTCCAAAGTTATGAATTCAAGTCTATTTTCTTCTGACCCCCCTAAAATTATAGGGCGGGGGGTATAAAGATGAATATATCTTATTTTCGCAAGTCTCAAACTCTAGATATCACCCCACATCATAAAAGTAACTTATTTTCCAACAAGAACTGAAAAAATCTCGCGTAATACTTTCCAATATCCATTTTCACTTTCTAGCTGTTTCTCAGAACTTGGGTCCCTGAGTACTAGCCAGGCAATGGGCGCTGACGTTTTAGAATATTGAATTTTGATTAATTTACAGATTGAGCAGAACAGATTGACAGATGTCGAGACATCCTGCAGAATTCACTCGTAGTTCACCTCATTCTTTCTTGCAAATTTTACTGGCTGAAATTATCATTTTAACTTGAAGTGCTAAATAATTCATAAGCATTCCTTCATTTGGTGTCCTATACTGAATGCGAAATCATGAAAGGAAACAGTTATTATTTCACTCAAAAATTTGATTTCTGTACGGCACCATGGGCTAATGCTCACCAAACTAAATGATAACGATAACCAAATAACAGAAAAATATCTGAATGTAATATTGATTATTGATGGTGAACAACTTAAGTATAAATATGCAGTACTTCGGCCTAGTTACATTATATTGAGGACTTACAAGGAATGCATCAATTATATCTTGGAAATGTCCTCTGGTCTGACATGATATTTTAGATGGAATCAACTTCAATAAAGATGAAAGATTGAAATGTTTACTTCATAGGTATTCAGCCCGTAAGAGATGTTTGTATAAATAGGCTTTACCACAATATATTATTTTTATTATTTATTTTTTGTTTCTAGGTCAAGCTTTCAAGGTCTCTTGAAGTCTATATAGGCCTATTTTGTTTACATGAATCCTGCAAACCTTCCAAGGTTAATTTATACTCTGATAGCAGGCAAATATTTTATGATCAGTTATTCAAGTGCAGTGGAGACGTGCAGGTCACCATGACATCTAGTTATAAATATTAACTATAATTACTAGAAGAAGAAACTAGGTGTATTCTACATTTGTACCTTTCACTCAAATTCAGTTGAAAGAATTTAATGTCCATCCGTGGTCTAGTTTTTCTAAAATGTCAAATAGATAAATAATTTTTGCTAAATGAATTACAGTGAAACCTGTGAAAAGTGAAAACCTATAGAGCCACAAAAATGTGTTCACTGTGTATGTTTTTAAAATAAACTGTTGAAAACTGTTGAATGTTAAAAATAGGATCATAAGTTATAACCATATCCATTGTTGTATAAGAGAGAAAATCAAATGTTATTACAGTGTACAGTATATGTACAGTAAAACCTTTCTAAATAGAACACTTTTGTTATCTCTAAAAATGTTACAAATGGGAGGTGTCCTACTTATCGAGATTCATTTAACAATAAGTCAGTTGGTTTCTTAGTTAGTTTAAGTTGGACTCTGAAAAGCATTCCACTAACAGAAGTGTTTCACATTTATAGGAGTTCCTCTTTACAGGTTTCACTGTACATTATACAGAAAAACAATGTTCATATAATGGGTTTTGGAGCAATGTTCTTCAATGACTAAATGGGTCTTGTGGTATTCAAAATATAACCTTGCAATGTTGGTCATATCCACTCCACAGTAGCCCCAGGCGGATGTAAATATCTAGAGTCGAGTGTAAAATTAAAGTGCCTTGCCACATTGTCTAACATGAAAAACATGAAATTTGTCATTGTTTAATATTATAGTATAGAACAAAGTCAATTTTAAGTACTTTCATAAACATATTACTTTTTTTAACCTGTGAGTATACATAACATTTATCATAAGTTACAATACTGGCGAGTGTAATTTTTTTTATTGGCGAGTGTGAAAAGTCGATTGCCACTTGTCGAGTGATAATAAAATCCTTAGACCCACACTGCCTTGGCTATTCTAGTTATCCTTATAGTCTCTAACATTTTTGTGGATGGTGTTCTCATTCTGCAGTTTGGTGGTTGGCATTTGTAACAAATGGCATGTGGTGACACTGCATGTTAATACCTTGTTTGATATTGTAAATATTGCATTAATCTTAAAACCATTATATATGTAATTTCAGAAATCTCTTGGCAGTACATCATGTCTTCAGAACAGACAGGCCTCAAGCTCAACCGTAAGTACACATACCTAGTAATACAGTGTTCTCCCCGGGATTTGTGTAGGGAGGATTTTTAGGGCAATATTTGAAGTTTTTTTAGGTTATTTCAAAATTAATGGTTTTGTAATTTTTAGTGCAACCTATTAAAAAATTTGTTAATAAAAATTTGGTATCCATTTTATGATTTTTAAAATTTTATTTTAGGTGCATTTAGCTATTAGGGATAAATTGAGCAGTAAGGAATTAGTAAGATGAGCAGGGCCACAGAGAAATACGTGGAATGGTGGCTATAACATGCTATTTTTATTAGTTTTATCTTTTGGCGATTCATATAGCAATGTGGCTATTTTGAGAAATGGTCTTTGGCAGTCTTATCTGACACTTATAAAATATTCAATGGAATTTGCTACTCTTGTATAGCCATCATCTAGTAACATCAACTATTACATCATATTATAGTATTCATTCCAAAGACCTGGTTTATAAAATTGGTATGTTCCTAAAAATTAATGAATCTGGTGGCAGCTCTGTATTAACCGGCATATCTGATATTAAAGTGTGTACAAGACTTAGATCAATACTCAATGACATTATGCCCTTGCCCCTATACAGTTCCTAAGATCACATAACTATCAAACCATATATGATATTATAACCAACATAAAAATTCTGGCCATTCGGGCTTTCAATTAGGCTGATTAGAATTAAACTAAGAAAATTCCAAGTGAGTTATTCTTCCGTCTTATTTTCTCGGGAAATTAATGATAGTTATTATTTTTTGCAAGGTAGTGGGTAATGTATTGCATCGTATTCAGAAATACTATTGATTATCTGAGTTTTTTATGTTATTGATTTTCTTTGCAGGATCTGAAAGAAAATTTAGCGAGATTGATCCCCGAAAAACAGGCTCTCATTAAAGAATTTCGAGGAAAGCATGGCAACACCAAAGTTGGCGAGATTACAGTTGACATGGTAACATTGGTTCAAGCCATCTTTCTTTGACTTCAATCTATAATTTTACTTTGATTTTTATGTCACCGCCATAAGTGGTTTCTGTAACAAATGGCATGTGGTGACATTTTGCATGTTAATACCATTTATCATTATGTCACCATCAAGAAGTGGTCATCTGTAACACATTTACACCCTTGTACAATTCCATCCATTTAAGATAACTTTAAGGTAGTGACATTTTTTCTATATGAATGTCTTGTTTGCTCATTTTGTTGGGATGTATATTTATTAGTAGATTATCCCATGGATCCCAACTAAGTGTCAACTGAATATTGATTATCTTAAAAAAAACTGAAATTACATGTTTATACTGACATTGACTTGTTTGGTTGGCATCTGTTTGAATAAGGCTGGGATAGATAAATGAAATGTTTAGTGTATCATCGATTACAAATTACATTATAAATATACATTGGGGGCTACATTTGAAAAATTGAAAAATGAACCCTGGTCCTAGCTTATTTCAACAGAATCATGTATTTTCGTACATAATTTCGAGGCTACAAAAATAAAAGGCATTATACCCAGTCTTAACAAGACACAATATGCTAGATTCTAACATGATATGTGATGTCACAATGACGAGAACAATTGATTTATTGGTCTATATTGGGGTATGTATGACCTGTAAATTTCAATATATACCAAAAAATGTAATGACTATTACAATTGCATACTCACCCCCTCTGAACCAATTTAGTCACAATATAGACATGACAGATGTCAATATGTGACGTCAGTTTCATTATTGATATCTTTGCAAACTATTTAGCTAGAAGGAAATCTGGTAAATAGAATGTCCAAAACATTAGAATTTTTCAGATTGAAAATAATCAAATCGGAAGAAACTTAGGTTTTATCATGTTAGAATCGTAACAAAGACCTCGATTCTATGATTTATGGCAAATATATGACCTCAAATTTTATTCTGCCCATTGCCAAAGACCTCAATCGCTACGTGATTTCGGTCTTCTAACAATGAACAGAATAAAATTTTGGTCATATATTGCGCCATAAATCATAGAATCTTGGTCTTTATTCCTTAAATATAACATGTTCTAAATATTTTACCCAACGATGGTATTGTTAATAGATTGGACTGTATTATATTTTGTAGATCTATGGTGGTATGAGGTCGATGAAGTCCATGGTTACAGAAACATCTGTACTAGACCCAGAGGAGGGCATCAGATTCAGGGGATACAGTATCCCAGAATGCCAACAGCTGCTCCCTAAGGCTCCTGGGGGAGATGAACCTCTCCCTGAGAGTCTATTCTGGCTCCTATGCACCGGTGAAATTCCCACTGAAGACCAAGTCAAAGCTATTTCAAAGGTACATCTATATCTAGCAAATCAAGACTTTTCAAAACCTAAATTTTGGTTTTGAACGAAGTGCCCTTTTGATTTCAGACACAACTTTATATACTGTTGGACCATGGCTTTCAAGAATATACATGTGGGGGTTAAATGAGAAACGTTGTACAAATTTGAACTCAAACCTGTCTGTCTTCTTGAAATATAACTAACTACCATGGCTGTGACAGTCTTCAACATGTCACTGAGGCAGGTTATAGAAAGGCTGCATATGATTACCTCCATATTTCAAAGATGTCAGGTTGCATAACAAAACCTTGGATCTGTCTTACAATACTATGAATGTTAACTGTGGGATCAATTTGAGTCCCTTTGCCTCATGTCAACATTCTGGAAGTATCATACTAATTGATTTTTTCTAAAAAGTATTATCCATTCAAGAATGGGGTAGAGTGCCAGAGGAACTTGTCACATAGCAGGAGTAAATGAAGCATTTTGACAATGCATAATTTTTGCATTATTTACACTTTTCTCAAATAATATCTCACCTGATGTTTCACTTCTTCAATCATATTCATAATTAATAGGGAAATAATGTCTAAACTCAAAAAAGAACTTAAAAAAGTTAAAATGGCCCATACCAGAAATGCTGGTTCATATGGTGAGATCTGTCAGTACCATCACGAAATTTGAGAAACATGAATTTTCGGGAATTTTTTCAGTAATGCGTTGCATAATTTGCTCGTTTTGGTGCATAATGTCACTTTTGTCTGCATAATTCTAGGATCTGTGGCTAATACCCTCAAAAACCATTTTAAAATATATCCTGTATATTTTAGGAATGGGCCAATAGAGCTGACCTTCCACAACATGTAGTTGCCATGTTAAACAACTTCCCAAACAATGTACATCCCATGGCCCAGTTCAGTGCAGCCATCACAGCCATGAACAGCGAGAGCAAGTTTGCAAAGGGGTATGCCTCTGGTACTATGAAGAAAGCAGACTACTGGGAGGTGGGTACAATTGTTTTTATTTTGTTTTTGTTATTTCACTACCACAAGTGGTGATTATCTACATTTTCTGAAAAAATGAGAGGGATATGTGAAAAAATCACAAAATGAGAGCATTTTTATCAGAATATATGGATCGCCCCTTGTATTGTCATTTTTATGGATGGTGTTCAGCAGTTGGTGTTCAGAGTTTGGTGGCTGTAACAAATGACAAGTAGTGCCATTTTCCATGTTAGTGCCTTGTTATGATTTGTAAAAGAAATGCAACCGAAAGAAAATTTTGTCATCCTGTAGTTTTCAATTGTTTTGTATCGTTTGAGTTAGTTTTGTTTAGTTTTAGATAGTTTCATATCGTTTTAGTAATTTTTGTTTAGTTTTAGCTTATTTTTGTATATTCTACACTGTAGTGACCAATATGTTATTGTAAAGATACGACAGCAGAGAGCCAATAAAAGAAATATATCTATTTCAGAAAGTGTATGAAGATTCAATGGACTTGATTGCCAAACTTCCCACAGTGGCTGCAACAATTTACTGCAACCTGTATAAAGATGGCAAAATTGGGGCTATTGACCAAGACACGGATTGGTCAGCCAACTTTGTAAATATGCTAGGATATGATAACCCACAATTCACAGAGCTCATGAGACTATATTTAACCATACACAGGTTGGTATTTGTACATACATACAATAAAAAAAGTCCCAGAAAGTTAATTCATATTCTATACTTTTCACTTTAAGCGTTTGATATTTAGTGTGGGGGAGGGGTTTGCTTTGCTAGATTATCTCACATTAATGAAGTCTCATCAAAATTATAAGAAAACTGCTCACCTGTTCAACTTGAAATTTTTACACACGCAAAAGAAGATATTTCTGTCCAAAGTATTATTTCAGGTGAAAGTTGAGTTTTATTTGGGTTGACTAAGACTCGGAGTTGTGATGATCATAATAACCATAATTTATTTAAACATTTATATTCATGGTTAAAAAAGTCAACAAAAAGTTAATAGTCAGCTTCAGCTTAAATGGAAGAGAGTCAGACGTCAAACATGAGATTAAATTTTAATGTATTTAACAACTTTGTTTTCCAGTGATCATGAAGGTGGCAATGTCAGTGCCCATACATGTCATCTTGTGGGTAGTGCTCTCTCTGACCCTTATCTCAGTTTTGCAGCAGCTATGAATGGTCTCGCTGGACCACTCCATGGCTTGGCCAACCAGGTTAGTCAAAACAAATTAATTTTTATCTAAAAAGTCTAAAGGGAGATTAAAGCATAGTATAGAAGCAGTTAGTTTTTATATCGCAGAGTTCAATTTTATCAGTTTTCAAGTAATTTTGGGCCGAAATGGTCACATGTAAACACCTTGAATTTTTGAAATAGTGAACCCCCTTGGCAAAAGCAGACTGCAGGCCTGATAGATTTTATTTGCTTATTTTTATCAAAAGATTTTGTTCCCAATACCCAGCCATCTATCAATAGAAAAGAAAGATGTATATTGTGATAAAAGTCAAATGATATGCCCTGTCTGTTTGAGTGACATCTGTCAAATAACATTGGGTTTTGAATGGGTGACTCAGTGTTAATTTTAGTGATTTTGTTGTATACGCTCATTTCATTTCCTAATGAGTGTATGGACTGATATGAGTCGATGTTCTGGTCACAATTTCTGTGCTCCACATGTGGTATTTTTGTAGAGATGCGAAATTACCATTTACCCCAAAAATTCCAACTGACTAGAGTAAAGTTAACCTAATATGGCAGGGTATTTAGGTGTAAGATTTTGCCATTTAAGAGCTTTTGAAATGCTTGAAAGATGACTCTCATATCAAAGGATTTTACTTTGAAAAGTGGTATTTGATGAAATAAATTATCTCAGTTTTGTTAATTTGGGGGTTTCATTTATGGTGTCTTGAAGCAGGCAGCGAAATGAAAACAATTTTGATGTGAGCGCTATCTTTTAGACGATGTTCATTTTATAAGCATGAAGTCCTTTTTGCTAGAAATAAATTTGAATGATGACTTAAATCATTGAACTATCTTATTATGCATGAACACTAGTACAGTAAAACCTGTCTACGTCGAACACCTTTGTACATCTAAAAAGTTCCACCCAGGAGGTGTTCCACTTTTAGAGGTTCATTTAAAGCTGCCCTTTTCAAAAAAACGCAATATTTGGTTGTTCCCGAGTAATATTTTGAGCTATAATGAGAGAATATACAATAATAAACAAATGGGGAAAATGCTGTGCAAAAATACTCGCGAGAAAGGTGTTATTATGATGATTGGTCCTTCGATTGCTCGGATGATCGGCCAGCCATTTGATTTTTCGAAGATTTCTAAATTTAGAATATCACGTGACTAGCTAATTAGAAATTTAGATAAGATCCGTTAAACTACTCAAGTGAATAAGTGATGTCGGGGTAGTGCACTGGTAGAACGCTCGCCTAGCAGACGTCTCGGGTTCGAATCTCGGCTTGATTTTTAATTTTTTCTATTTATATTGTTGGCTTTGATTTTACGCTCAAAAAACATTTATAACTAAGTCAACTTTATATTAAAACATTTATTATCTTGTCACTTGTATGAAATGTAAAAAGTAATATATGTCAGCTTATTGCCTTTTCGAGAACAGTCAAGGTTTAACATTAAGTCAGTTGGTCTTAGCTTGGGACTCTGAAATGTTCGACTAACAGAGTTGTTCCACTTCCAAAGGTTTTTGTTCAACTTCACAGGTTTCCCTGTATTTGTGAAAATATATTTATTTTACTGCGTTTCACAATAAAGTAAAAGGTAAGATTGATTCATATCTGTGTATGTATTCCAGGAAGTACTTGTGTGGTTGACTCGACTAATGGAAGATATTGGAGAAGTAACAACAGAACAGATGAAAGAATATGTCTGGAACACTCTGAAAAATGGCCAAGTAGTTCCTGGATACGGACATGCTGTCCTGCGTAAAACAGATCCTCGTTACACCTGTCAGCGAGAGTTTGCATTGAAACATCTACCTGATGATCCTATGTTCAAACTGGTCTCACAGCTCTATGAAGTTGTACCTGATATTCTTCTTGAATTGGGCAAAGCAAAGAACCCATGGCCAAATGTAGATGCTCATAGTGGTGTTCTATTACAGGTTAGTTGGGTTCATGAATAGAGTGATGGAGGGGGATAGATATTGGGGTTTCCATAGCTTGAATGTTCTAGTAGTCTATACATTTATATCTGAATGCCAATTGGTAAAAGAAGGAAGACTCCAATGTATGGACTTTTTTCTGAACTGAAAAATGATGTTTGATTGATCCAACTTGTCGCGAATCCTGTATATTTCTTCATGGTTTAATAAAAATGTTAATAACCATGTCCTATTTTATCTGTATTTTTATGTCATCACCATAAGTGGAGATCTTGTTATAGTCTCCAACTTTTTGTGGATGGTGATTGGTGTTTCGCAGCTAGTGTTCGGCATTTGGCAGTCATTGTCTGTAACAAATGGCATGAGGTGACATTTCGCATGTTTATGCCTTGTATACTTCTGTTTCAGTACTACGGTATGACAGAGATGAGCTACTACACAGTATTGTTTGGAGTTTCTCGCGCACTGGGCTGTCTCAGTTCCCTTATCTGGAGCAGAGCCTTAGGTTTCCCCTTGGAGAGACCCAAGTCTATGAGCACAGAAGGACTCATAAAATTAGTGGGATCAACAAAGTAAACTGGAAAAAATAGGCTAGGAAATTGTATTATAGTGAACTTTGAATTTGGAGTTATATGACTATTGGCTATTGGCTAGTGATTTTTTAAATGTGAATATTTTATTGTTATGCTTTTCATTTCATTCGAGAATTATGCTAATAAGGTTGAAATGTGTAAATACTAAATAGCATGCATAGGTATTTATTGTCGCTTCACACTTGGAGCAATTTTAAAATGATGGTTTGCAACTTACAATTACAAAATCACTAGCCACTTAAAATGGAAAATATAGTTTTATGCGTACTCGATACTATTGCACACACGTCTCCACAAGAATTGGATATGCCGGTAGTCATTTCAGTCTGCACGGCATTGTACTCATCATACCATATAATATACAGGGTGGTCCAAAAAATATGAATATTGGTTAATCCTGCGCAGATACCTTATTTTCCCTCCAAAATATACCAAAGTTTTACTAGCATAGTTCAGTTAATCATTTATACACTTTAAAGTCCACAATTTTAGCACATGTAACATTGGCGTTTTGAGAAACAGACTCCTTTTGGGGAAAGGCTATCATTAACCAGTCAAAATGGACTGCTTCTTAATATTACGCCATTAGAAAATCTAGTAATAACTGTAAAAAATACCCTGTATCAATTTTGTCAATTTTGATACAAGATGTTGATTATGTTGCCAGACTTTATTTCCCAAGGCAAATATTTTGGAAAGGCCAAGTTGAACTTTGTTTTCAAGATAGCTATTGAAAATTTTTTCTTCAGAATGGAGGTCTGTGCGTGAACGAGAAGAGGGCTTATATCGAACATTAGCTTCTTAAAACCATTAAACTCATTAACATGATAAGCTTTATCAATAAACTTTACAACCAATACACGTATTTGAATGAATTTATCCAAGTATAATTTTGGTGCATTTTATTACAGAAATATTTGGACCTCCTTATTCTTAATATTTATTTTCAATTTAATTAAAGCACAAGCGATAACTAAAATCTTAATAGGCTTGATGAATTGTGAGATATACTAGTACTCTTAATATATTTATTATAAATTCATGTTTGTTTCCACATTAAACCACTTTGTGCTGTGTTGTGACCTGTTTGTGTATATCACTGGTAGTAATATTAGTAAATGTGACCATGATATTCAGTGTCTCCCTAGCATTATTTTTAAGCTTGGAACAAAATAATTTTACCTGTTTTTGAATATGTCAGATGCACATTTTCAACAATTTCTGTGTGGAAGCAAATTTTTACCTGGTGTAGGTTAATTGCCAAATTCTCATCAATGCCACTTCTGGATGCTACAATACAGGGGAGATATCTAATATATGATAAACGATTATAGACCAAATGTAGAACTAAATTGCATTTTTATTGGGTCCATTCATATATCTTATCAAAATTTTAGAGCTGTAAACATTTGGAAGCCTTGAAGTTGAAAATGTGAATTTTTATATTGAGTATTGTCCGAAGTGCAACATAATAAACTGACCATCACCATAATGTAAATGAAGTATTTTGGTACATATATTTATATCGCATATGTTCATGACAATTGAAATAATGAACTGAACTTGTTTATAACACAATTTTTGGAGTAAAAAATAAGTCAACCAATTTTTGTTATAAACAAATTGCAGGTATTGCTCTGTAAATTTTCACTTAAAACTTCATGCAGCTATTAAGAAAAATTGCAGTTAAAAGTATTAAATGTGTACATGTATATTTGTTGAAACTTGATGAATGTACAGAAAGAGTAGAAATAATATTGTTTTTGTACATATGCAATGCTACTATTGAATTATCAGATTGTTAGAATACAGAAGAACTATCATAAAGTATATCTTGTATTTCTGTCTTATTAAATCTTGTTGGTATTCCAATCCAAGTGCAAATATATTAAAATTGTGCCTTTTGTGGTGAGAGGCAATTTCATGAAAAATGTATAAGAAATACTAAGGTGGGCCTTGACTGGCAACTTCATATCCTGTTCGTACATGATTTCAAGATTCAGTTGCACCCGAGAGAACATGTGAAAGGTCCAAGCGAATACTTGGCCAATCTTAAGCTATAATTATCAGACTGCCCCTTTGAAATAAGACTCATTTTTGGCCTACTGTACTTCTGCTTAATTTAGTGCCTGTTTTTATTTGGCAAGGGCCCTAGTTTCACCAATTCATTTGAGAAAAAATAATCCCTAGCGTGAATCCCTGTTTTTGCTCAGGTTATCCATTTCCATCCTCCTGTTGTGAAAACACATTCAAAACAGTTTAAGTGATCAATGATGAAGGGAATACTAATATTATTCATATATTGATTTTCCAGTGACTTTGGTACACATGCCTTGACTCGAAGTATCATTTTACCCCATCATGGATATATGATTGTCATTCTGGTCACCCCTGTGCATCTTTGTAACTTCAACTTCCATACAAACATAATTTTATTAAGAAATATAGACTGAAGAGAAGGTATTATATCGACGAATAAATACCACGGGGCTAGGCACAAACATTTTCTGTAAAGCTTTTGTGCCTAGCCCTAAGGTATTTATCACTCGATATAACACCTGATCTAAGGTCTACAGTACGATTCGAACATGAAAACTCACCAAAATTTGGCAAAATCGGCACTTCATTTCTTACCTTGGTTTAGTGTTTATTGAACGAATCACTTAGTACAGACCAGGTATTGTATTGATGAATAATTACCGGTTCAAATGTTGATGTTGACTTTGTTCAAAGTTTATAGAAGGCATGAATACAGCCATGTTCGAATCATTCGTATTTTTGCTTTGATGACCCTATGTTATAACATTGGAGTACACCAGCTGGGGTTCTAACTTGAACCATGGACTTCTAATCAAAATCAATGTTATTTGTTGATAGCCATTTCCACTGTACTATCTCACCATGGCCTCCAATGCTATGAGTACAGAATAATAACACTATATGGAAGGAATCTGATGTAACACTCAACTTTGTCAACAGGACAGTGCAATATTGACCATGGTCATCACAATCATCTGAGCACAATCAAATCAACAATCCAAACAAATATGTAGATATGAATCATACACATTACACTTTAGTCTTGGATTATATTGAATCAATAAAATACAAATTCAGCACAGGTCGTTTCAGTGTATCATTCCATATAATCAAAACAGTAACATATATTATGGAAGTTGTACCCGGGGGTTGTACAAGGAAATGATTCAGATTGTACATGGGGAGTCACCCGTGACGTCATCAATTATTTTAGTCGCCCTCGTTTCCAAATGAAAACCGACCAATGATCCACCTCAAAACTGGTCACGTGATGGCTTAGTTGTAAAAGGGCCAAGGGTATTTACAAAACAGACACGAATTATCACCATTTCAAAGTGGATTTTAACATATTTGTGAGTATCAGGTAAGTTAGTATTCTATCGTTATAAATATTAATATATACTTAAGTCGTATGAGCTCTATGATTTCATGAAAGAGGTTTAATTAAGTTAGATATTGAACCTTTTGTGTGAACAAAATTCGTCGCCATGTTGGGAAGTCTGACTTGCATTTTCAAAACAAATCAGCTGGTCAAATTATTTTCTCAAACTCATCTTGTGGTCATAGTATCCCTATATATCATAACTCAGATGACTAAATCATATCATGTTAGTTTGTAAAATTAATATGGATAACATGAGATGAAACATTTTGATGTAAAACCGAAACAAATATTGAACAGAATTTCCACAAAGCCACAAGGAACAGGTTTCAATTTTGTTTTGTTGGCAATGAGTGATGAAATGTCCATAGTTGTATCACCATTTAAGACTCTGTAATAACCAGGTCTGAATGTATTTTTGGAAACAATACCTACCATGACCCACCAAGCAAAGGTACCACAGACATGTGATAGTCTAACCACAAGGGTACAAAATGTCGACCTGTTCTTATATAGCCAGGGCAGAGGAAATGGTTCATTGTGTGAAAATGCACCAGGTCACCTTTATTTGTTTGTTTATTTGTTTCTTGAGACTTTTTCTTTGTTTTCGACATATCATACTAATATTATTCACATTTGATATGGATTGAAATCAATTAGATTTGAATCATCAATGACATTTTACATCACAAAGTGTGATATTTGGCAGCCTCGAGAAATTGGCTAAATTTGCTCATGGTGGTAGGCCATGAGTTCTCCATCTATGTCCTTCTGGGTACAGTAGAGATTATATGAATGTTAATGAAATTTGCCCATACATCGAAAATGTTTTTCTTCATGGAAAGTCAATCCCATTTACTTTTAACAAAGGATAGAGAGATCAGTCTTTTATCTGTGTGAGGGACGTTCCCATACATATGGCTATATAAAGCTACTAAGGGGCGGGGTCAAAATATCAATGTTCATATGGAGACGAAAGTAATTTTGTTTGGACAACAACCCCCCCACCCCCCCTCTAGACGAAAGCTTAGGTCACTTCAAAAAAACATTGATTTTCAGTGACTGTCAAATGATTTGGAACCCGTGATTACATTGCCGGGTTATTATTACGGTGAATTAACACACGTTCGCAATTTAACTGCATTGAACTCTTCAAAAGGAGGAGGGAAAAGTATGGAATTTATTTGAAAAATGATCGAATTATCGTCTTTATCTACCGATATTTTGGACCTATCACACAAAAAAGCTCACGAACTATTGAAAACAAGCCTTTTTATCAGAACATAGCGCCAGAAAAAGTGGGTAAGTCCAATTATTTTTTGTATATCAGATCCGATTTATCCATGTTTTTTTGGTCAACGAAAGTGCCCAAAAACCCCCTCCCCCCTCGCGAAAGTACTTTGTCTCCATATGAACATCGATATTTTGATCCCGCCCCTAAAGTGGGTCACTTTTTCACTGAAAAATCTCTAGATTTGGGTCCAGTTTTTGAGAGAAAAACCCTAGATGTGGATGGATATTTTGAATCTCTGCTGACCCCCCCCCCCCCCCTTAAGAATTGACCAGTACTAACCCCAGCCCCCCCCCCCCCCCGCCCTGGGTTTATCAACTTCCTTACTTAGAAAATATTTCTGTGTATCATAACAAAATTACATCAGCTTCAAGCACTGGATGGCCTGAGATGTTGGCTTAGATATAAGAATCAATATAAACTAAAAGTGCAAAATGCACAACTGCTCTTGTTTCTTAATTTATTCAATATTCAGATATTTACAACAACCAACTTGATAATATGAAAATATATCTGATGCAGTTAAACAGCACAATAGTAAAAGCATTTTCTAGATTTAGATGTCTAAACTGTAAACCATAAATATACAGTCATAAAATCTTTGTACATTTTTATCTTGTTTACAGTAGCCTAGATCTAGAACATATTATTTGTATACCTGATCTTAAGTACAATGTGTCTATGTCTTAATATTTACGACTGATTAGTCTATGAATTGATGATTAGTCTAGCTACAAGCCCTTGTGACCCCCCCCACCCACAAGAAGAAGGTGTGTCGCCAAGTAGAGAGGGGGGAGGTCATAGAGACTTGTGGCTAGACTAATTGATGGGGCTTTTGACTCTAATTATTTTGCAACGGTTTTTATTAGGTTTTATCTTTTCCTACTGTTTTAATTTTGGTATTGATCCAGTTAAAAGTGTAATATAGAACTAGGTTAAATCTACTCAATCAACGTTGTAAAACATATACATATAAGTAAGTTAATGCGATATATCATGTATAGATCATGCTTAACCTTGATGTCAGCTAGTTTGATTGTCAGTAATACAGTCAGTCTTTACTAGTTAAGACTTCACCTTAAATCACTCAGATCACTTTTATTCACCATATTTTATGTAAAATCTGAATACTGACTCAGATAAAAGGACACAATCAGAGATTATTGTTACTAAGTACAATGATTATTGTTTCTAAGTACAATTAATGGTTGATGTATGAGGCTTTTATGTTTAGGTTCCATGATGAAAGACACATTAACGATGAGTGTCACATATTATCTGATTTGAATAAGTATGGGTTGAAAAGTGCCATCAATAAATATAATGATATTAGATACAGTAAAACCTGTCTTAGTGAACGCCTCTCTCTAGTGAACGCCTGTCTCTAGTAGACACCCTCCCCACATTATCGTATCGACTTATTCATAGATTATCCTCTTGTGAACACCTACCAACACTGAATATTTTTTCTCGGCAATTTTATGTTCAATATACACAGGTTTTACTGCAGCTGAATTTCAATCCACTTGTCCTACTACCCTTAGGTTATTTAAGTAAGTAAATTTTAGTTTTTTGTGATTAAGATCTTAATAATCGCACATGCAGTACCAATAGTCTGAGTATGTAATGTTGTCAATACGGAAACCTACTTTCAGGTTAATCCTACTTTCAGGTTAAACCTACTTTCAGGTTAATCCTACTTTCAGGTTAAACCTACTTTCAGGTTAATCCTACTTTCAGGTTAAACCTACTTTCAGGTTAAACCTACTTTCAGGTTAATCCTACTTTCAGGTTAATCCTACTGTCAGGTTAAACCTACTTTCAGGTTAAACCTACTGTCAGGTTAAACCTACTTTCAGGTTAATCCTACTTTCAGGTTAATCCTACTGTCAGGTTAAACCTACTTTCAGGTTAATCCTACTTTCAGGTTAAACCTACTTTCAGGTTAATCCTACTTTCAGGTTAAACCTACTTTCAGGTTAAACCTACTTTCAGGTTAAACCTACTTTCAGGTTAAACCTACTTTCAGGTTAAACCTACTTTCAGGTTAATCCTCCTTGAGGTTTATGGGATTTTTACGGGAAGTGCATTGAACTTATTGCACCCATAATTGATGTTTTTGTTTTGTCGTTTTTGTCAGTTAAAAATTGTTTATTCATGAAATTTGTAATTTAGTTTTGACATAATATTTATGAGTTTATTATTGTATCATAAAGGAGTTACCATGGCAGTTATAAAATTAAGGCAAAGTTTTTTTATTATGATAACCTGTATTTGGTCCCTTCATTTAGGCAATTTTCTGCTTAAAATATTTTTAACTTTTGGGGGTGTTCATCATGTTCATATAACTGTAGTTTGTGCTTATCCGAGGATGCAACCAGATTACATATATCTGTAATATGATAACTGCTGGTTTAATAACATTGTTATGGTGTAAACAGTCATACACATCAGTTCTGCCCCTAGTATACCACCCTTGGTATACGCAGCTAACGAAAATTGACCGGTACGGGTCAAAAGCTGGACCGGTACGGGTTAACGGTTTTATTTGAATTTAAAACAGCCATAACTTGCTCAATATTGACTTCCTCGTGTCTAATTTGAAATATATGATGCCTCCCGATGCTCTTAAGTACCCCAATTTTTTACAGATTTTTAAACGGACCAAAACTCTCTAAATGCGCATTTATATAAGAACGACTGTCTCATTTTCACGATAACTTTTATTTAGTACTTCTAACATATAAGATCTATTTTTCCCCATCAAGGTATGATGTAAATGACATGCTATTTACATCTTGTGAGTTTCAATGACGCGCGTTTGATTTTATAAAAAATGCCAAACTTAAACACATGTATAAAGATTCCTAAATTATGTTCATGCTATTGCCCCGAACCGGTTCGTCTTCTCGCTGCAAGCAGGATGAAATTCTTTGTCACAAAGTTTGGCATTTTTTTATAAAATCAAACGCGCGTCATGGAAACTCACAAGATGTAAATAGCATGCCATTTACATCATACCTTGATGGGGAAAAATAGATCTTATATGTTAGAAGTACTAAATAAAAGATATCGTGAAAATGAGACAGTCGTTCTCGAGAGAAAAGAGCATAAATGCGCATTTAGAGAGTTTTGGTCCGTTTAAAAATCTGTAAAAAATTGGGGTACTTAAAAGCATCGGGAGGCATCATACATTTTAAATTAGACACGAGGAAGTCAATATTGAGAAAGTTATGGCTGTTTTAAATTCAAATAAAACCGTTAACCCGTACCGGTCCAGCTTTTGACCCGTATCGGTCAATTTTCGTTAGCTGCGTATACCAAGTGTGTATACTAGAGCATAATTAGGTAATATATATAAATTGGTACATTTATATAGTGATCGTTAGGCAATGTACCAGTAAATACCAGTAAACATGTTCAAATTACAGAAATCTTCGTGTACATTGAATTGGCCAGGGACAGGGAGATTCGAATGTCCAGGTCAGCACCACTTAACTCTTGGTATTTAACTTAGAAAGGCCCTATTAGCTCCAGGTATGCATATATAATGATTCTAATTTAGGCTATTGTCTTTATGAGGGCCTTGATTACATTGATTGCTTCAGTTGTTGTCCTCAGCTGTAATTCACTCTTGTTAATTGCATTAGCCAGGTGAAATATTTGTTTGCATGTACCACCTGGAGTCAAT